TTCTTCCTGTCTAGTGCTCAAGGTCCAGTAAAGCAGCCTGACATCTGTTTCAAGCGCATTAAGCACCATAAAGGCTCTATTTACTGTGTGGCTTGGAGTCCCTGCGGGCAGCTTCTCGCCACGGGCTCCAATGACAAGTATGTCAAAGTTCTTCCTTTCAATGCGGACACCTGCAATGCCACAGGTAACGTGCCTTTAAAATAATGTCAGATCAAATGTATCTTGTGTAGTGTAAATACACAGTATTTTCTAACACGAATCATAAAGTGCTCTGAAAGTAATTGTGACCTATGAAGATAAGTAAAGGCTTTATTTTCTGATAATAACTGTACATTATTCTTTATGTCACTGCTAACTGCCAAATAATGGAAATGAAATATGTTGAAATGTGAAGTACTGTTTTATTATGTGAGAAATAGACTATAAATTGTATAGCAATAACTGTACAGTATACAGTAAATATACACTACCATGTTAAGGTTTGGGTTGAGATAAGATTTTTGAAAGAAGTCTCTTCTGCTCACCAGTGCTGCATTTATATACAGTATAAACAGTAATATTGTAAAATATTATTTATATAATTTAATTTAATTAATTAATTTAATTAATTAATTACTTTAATTTAAATATTATTTATACAATTTAAAATTGTAATTTATTCCAGTGATGCAAAGCTAAATTTTCAGTGTCACATGATCCTTCAGAAATCATTCTAATATTAATTGCACTTAATGAAATATATAAATGATAACACGTGTGTGTGTGTGTGTGTGTGTGTGTACACATTTTTCTATCCTGAATACACACCGACTCATGGGGACTCAAATTGAGGTCCCCATGGGGAAACAAGCTCATAAATCATACAGAATGAGTTTTTGAGAATGTAAAAATGCAGGGGTTTTCTGTGGGGGGTAGGTTTAGGTGTATCTATAGATCTGCTACCAGTCAAAAGTTTGAAGTTTGTATAATTAGGATTTTTTATGTTTTTAAAAGAAGTCTCTTATGCTCACCAAGGCTGCATTTGTTTGAGAAAAATACAGTAAAAACTGTAATATTCTAAAATAATAATACAAGTTAAAATAACTCTTTTCTATTTTAAAATGCAATTTATTTCTGTGATGCAAAGCTGAATTTTCAGCATTATTACTCCTCTTCAGTGTCACATGATCCTTCAGAAATCATTCTAATATGCTGATTTGCAGCTCAAGAATCATTTCTTATTATTAGCCAATAAGAAATATTATACAATTTATTATTTTATACATTTGTTTTCAGGATTCTTTGATCAATGGAAGCATTCGTTTGAAATAGAAATCTTTTCTAAAGCATATAAATGTCTTTACTGTCACTTTTAATCAATTTAATGCGTCCTCGCGGAATAAAAGTATTAATTTAAATTATAATATTAATTAAATATATTGAATCTAATAATAATGTATTATAAATGTTTACACACTTTTTTTAAAGTATCTTAATCTGTGAATTTCATAATTTAAACTATCTTGTAGTTGCCTTTTCATCTGTTTTTATTGCAGTTAATGGAATATGTAAATTACAATATTAGTATTATTAAACCAAAAATTCTAAACCAATTCAGTGACTACAAC